GATGATTTCTGCGCTGAGAAACCAGCGATGCTCATCAGTTCTTCCTAATAATCTTGTGGAATCTGTGCCTTAGGGTCACAAATCAGGCTTCTACATCGATAGCATCTTTGTTTCTTAATCAGCTGGGACCACAGTCTCATATGCTGTGGTAGTGCAGGGCTGGTATTGGCCTTTTGTAGTGCTGGTATCTAGAGAAACTAGAAGTGTAGCTTTAGTGCTCCTAATGAGGCTTAAATAGAGGCTTTCAGTGGTAACCTTTCCTACAGCAGACCAGGACTAGGCTTGGTCTAATTGCCTGCACATTTGTGTGGAGGAGTCATGCATGAGGCTGGTACACAGCTTCTGCTGCTCTTAAATCTGCTGTCAGCTGCAGCTGCATGCTCCAGGAATGCAGAAGTGTCAGAACTGTGTGATGCACTTGATAATCATCCCTGCCACCAACAGAACTTGGTTGCCACGGCTCCTCTTGACTTCCTTGTCCTGCTGGAACGCTGGGGAAAGCTTCTGGATGTGGAGCTTACTCTCCCCAGTGGGCTCTGTGGGGGCCTGTGGTTTGCAAAGGTGTCTGTTTACTGCTGTATTTTTGGGATCTTGATGCATCTCTTAGAGTTCTGTGGGCCAATAGCAAGTTCCAGTAGGCAGTTTTATTGGGTTTAGTTGTTCTCCATGTTGCACTGGAGGGATCTGCACACAGCCTGCTCTGTGAATCCTGTCCTGAGCAATGACTGAGCTGGTTGTGGCAGAAGTGCAGCCGTGGAGCTTACATATTGAACTTGCATCTACCTGCAGTTTGATGCAAGGTTTGGCAGAGTGAGGATAGAAGAGCCTGCTGGGAAGATGAGGTGAATCCTACGGCAGCAACGTGTGAAGTTTGTCGATAAGCTGCACATGGCATGATTCTCTGCACATTGGAGCTACCTCAAGGCAGGCTGCCCTTGAATTTTGGAGCATTCTGTGGTGTGAAGGGAAGTCTTGCAAGTAGACTTATATCAGGGATGTGCACTGTTAGGCCTCAGCTGGCATCAGAGAGCACATTGCTGAGCATCCTTAGCTGATAGCAAGTGTTAAGTGATCAGACTGCTTGAGAGTGCCTTATCAGCAGCTGGGGGGAGCTGAGCCCACTGCTTCTTTAGAGGCACTTTGTTAACAGTCTCCTCCTTGATTAGTTCTGTTCTCCTGATTCCTTACTTAAAGGTTGTGAAGTGCTTGCTCCCTGCTAGTTCATAGAAGGGAGGAGTCCTCTGAAAGACAAGCTGTTCTCGTTGTCTGTGGGAGATGGATGGAGTTCACAGTTGAAGTATTGGAGTTAAACAGGCTGTGCACTCAGGGAAGTAAAACAAAGCTGGAGGAAAACCAATTTTTGAATGAAAGGAGGCTATAACAGTCTGCTTTGATTTGCTTGATGTTTTGCTACAGGCTGGACTGTTAAGAGTGGATAGATGAGAAATAACTCAGTGCTTGAACCATCTGAGTCAGTGGGAAGTTAAACTTTATCTGTTCTACTATTGCTGACAAATCCAAACCTAGATCCTGGAGCGCGCACACCCCCACACCATTAATGTCTCTCTCAGTGAGAGACTTGAGAAATGCAGTCAAACTGGTGCTCCACCAGCGCTGCAGCAGCCCTGCCTGTTACCAAGCAGGACGAACAGACGTGGCATAGAGCAGTGTCACTGCATGCTTGTGTGGTTCAGCCTACTCTGCAGTAGTTCATCTGCTGTAGGAAGCACCACTCCAAAATGCTGATAAGTGCGCTCAACCTCTTGCTTCAAGCTGTGCTGCCACATCCCGCCCAGTACTGTGCTCACAAGACTTGCTGTTCTGAACTTCTTTACTGCTGTACCCTGTACCTGTTCTGCTGATACTGGCACTTGACAGTGAACATCAAGGCTCTGCTGTGAGATTCACTCCAGTAATACTCATTGCCCTGCAAAGCTGGTCTGCTCCTTTCTGCAGCGCTGGCTTATTTAATTACTGTGTGAAAGAGCTCATAGAAATAACTGACTCCTAAAAATCTGCCAATTATTTGCTCTCTCCTCTTACATTTGGGTTTTTACACTTTATGCCAGGGTGTATTTCTTTCTTTCCAGGGGCTGTAATGGTGGTCTGTAGGCTGCCGAATTGGTTGGTCTCAAACCTGTGTGCTCAACACAGAACTGCTGAATTTATTTTGGACAGCTGGCTGCTTTCAGCAGCCTATCAAACCACTTGAAATAAATTTCAGTTAAAACTGCTTTGCTTGCTGAAGCTGTACAGATGAAACTGAAAGATCTGAAGTTATAAGTCAGAGCAAGTAGTGGAGAATAGTTCTGATTAATGATTAAAAAAAAAAAACCCACAACTGAATGTCAGTGCAGCTTGAAATTGCATTGAGTCCAGTTTCTAGAACGTTGGAGAGATACTACAACAGAAGTGATCTGCTGCAAAACAAGATCTGGAGATTGTTTTTGAAGTTATTAGCATGCCAGAAGTCATTGCTGAAAGCGCAGCTGGTGGTGGGGTTCCAATAAAGCACAGCCTCTTCCAGCCAGGAGAACGTGGCAGTGCTCTGCTGTGGGGAGGGCAGCATCACTGGGGATGCAGCAGCACTCTGCCCTGCTGCCTGTGCTGGAAGGGGCTGCTGGCAGGTGTGCAGGGTGCTGTCAGTGGCTGGGGAAAGGGAGCAGGTGGGGCTGAACAGAGCCTTGCAGGTGGGTGCTGCTGCTTTGGGGCGAGCCGTCCTGTGCAAAGTCAGCCATGGTCACTAAGGACTGTGGTAAAATAAATCCGGCTGGGATCACAGAAATGGAACGTTCCCATCTGGAAAAGGCTTACGAGGATTGCTGATCCAACCCCTGCTCTGTGCAGTACCATCCAAATTTCAAACCCTCTGACTGAGAGCCGTGTCCCAATGGCTCCTTGACCTCCAGCAGTTTGGGGCCATGGCCCTTCAGTGCCTGATCAGTGCTCCTTGGCTTGATTTCTTCCTTCTGTGTAAAGGAAGGAATGGATGTTAGCTTTTCTTACTCATCCTGTCGCCTGAGGAGACCTCAGTGTCTGTCTGTGGAGGCTGGAAATACGAAGACAAAGGCCACAGGAAGGGAGCTGCAGAAACCTGCCGTGTTCAGGCTGTGCTGCTGGCTGCAGGTGTGTCTGAGGTGGCAGAGAGACCAAAGCTGGGACTGGTGGAAAGAGCTAAAGGTGATGAGCTGCTGTGTCTGTTACAGCCTTGCCAGCCCTGTCTTTCAGCCTTGGTAAGGGACAGCAGTTCAGGTCCAGTGGTTCCGATGTGCCTCTAGCACACGGGTAAAATCATTAAGCTCTGAAGCTGTGTTCAGACAGGTCTGAATGGTTCAAGGGGTGATTGATTGTGCAGAATGCTCTCTAATTACGAGTGAGCAGTAGAAAGCCAGGAGTACAGAGTGAAATTGGCAATAGTGGATTTAAAACTTAAATCCCAGTTGTTCCTTAAACTGTAGGTTTGCGGAACTGAACTGGTGCACGAGGTGGCTGGCAGTGAAGTCCTTGAGACCAGAAAGAATGTAAAATTAAAAGCTGTTTGTAGGTGCATTTCTGATGGTAAGCCTTTGTGCTGTTTAACATTTACAAAGTGTAAAAGATGATCTCCTTTCCAAAGGTTGCTTTCTGTAGACACTTCACTGGGATGCGTAGTGCAGATGTCACAGGGGTGGGTGGGGTGATTTCCATGTTGCTGAGCTCCTACAGATGAGGCTGACAGCAGTGGGGCAGAGCTGCTCTTGCAGTCTCAGTTCTTAGAACCACGTGTGCTGAAGAATGAGCTCTGTGGTTGGAGATGGGCAGCTCTTCTGAGGCAGTGGTGCTGTTCTGGTCCAAAGCAGAAGAGGATGCTGGGGGAGGAGATTGCTCTTCATTTGAGAGCAGGAAGTATGTTCACTTAGATCAGGAACAGAGCTTACTAGTGAACGTGTTCTGGAAGCTTTTGACTTGAAATGCCTACCGTGCCTGGATGAGTCTACAGAAACGTGCAGGAAAACTGACCTGGGTTCTTGTGTTCATCACTGAGCATCTCCTGAAGCTTTCACTCCTGTCCTATTTAAAATCTTCTGGCCTGTTCTCCTCCTCTTCAGCTGTACCTCGGCAGCCTTTATTTTGTGATCTTTTTTATAAGCTCACTTCTTTTTTAAAGTGAATTGTGGAATGCATGCTGCTCTCTTCCTATTTGTAGCTGATGTGTTTCAGTGTACCAGCTCTGCCTCCTGTGCTCCAGGTCAGAGTAGCAACTGATGGAAGCTGTGACAGATCAGTGCTTTCAAACTTGTGGTTGCTGCCATCTCCAACGTGCTTGGGAGAGGCCTCGTGACGCCTCTGTCAGTGCTGTTGATGGAGGGGACACAAGCAGTGGCACTGTTTGTACTGCATTCAGCCAGTTCTGATCACAGGAGCGTTTGGCAGCCCTTAGAGGGCACGAGGCCCTTGACATGTTTCATGCATTGCCCCAAAGTGCCTTGCTTATAGCTTACACCTCTTCATCTCTCCTGCTTTGCTGTGAGCGTAGGAATACACACATCTGTCTGTAGTCTTCTGGCTCCTTATAGAGATGAAGGTTGATGCTGTGCTAGGCAGCATCACGCAGGTGGGACGTGGGATATACACAGTACCTGTTTGTACTGCTGCTTTGTTCAGTGCTTTGTGTCTGCTGTGAATGAAGAAGCTGAATTTCAGGTCTAATAGCAGATATGCTTCTAAGAAGGCTTTCAAGCAGCACACTTCTCCCTTAGGATTTGAAGGTTCTAGTGGGATATTCCTGTCCAGAGGATTCCCAGTGGTGCAGCTGAGATGGAAGAAACTTGTAGTCACACACAGTTGATCAGTTAAGAGCTTGTGTTCAAAATGGCTTGGTGAAGGAGGTGGGATTGCTGCACGTGGTTTTAAGAGCTGCTGCTAATACTGCTGCCTGGGGGAAGCAGGCAGGCTGCCTGACGTCTGCAGGTGCCTTCAGCTGTGTTTAAACTAATGCAGTGTTTTTTCTCTCTCCCTAGTACTTTTGTCCATCTGTTCTCTGTTGTGTGATCCCAATCCAGATGATCCTTTAGTGCCTGAGATTGCACGGATCTACAAAACAGATAGAGAAAAGTGAGTATGGAAGCCAAAGGTGGAACGTAAACAGAGTTGATGCTTTAATAGTAAAAGGGAACTGGAAAAAAAAACAACCACACTTCGTGGGGAGAAGTGTGAACTTTGATTTGTTCCTTCCTAACACTCTGAATGTGGTGGGTTTGGGTTTTCATGGGTGGTGTATACAATACAGCTATTTTGACAGCTTTTCACTGCTGTAGGAAAAAGACACCTTTTCTGGTAGAAGTAAAGCAAGCAGAGACGTTCTTCTTCTTTGAGTTTCTTACTGCATTTTCATTCTACACAATAGTTTTTCAGTAGTGTGGTAGCTGTTAATTGCAGGTTTGCTTAATGTAAAGTGAGCAGTGCAAATCTGTGGCATATGATGCTAAGTTCAGGCTTCTAAAATCTCACCAGTTTCACTGTGTGCTTTAATCCTACATAGCCAGCAGAGGGAGAACAAGTTGCTTCGGTGGGAGGATGTTTCCATGCTAGCTGTTGGTGATGGAGTCAGGCAAGCAAAGAAACAACAAAATACTATTTTCATCTTCATTTCACAACCCAAGGAAAGAACAAGTGGTGTAGAGAGAGGGGGGGAGGACACAAGCTGCCTCTGAGGTGAACTGCAAACTGAAGAGAAGGCCGCTACTGAGAAGGTTTCGATTGTTTTGTTTAAAAGCACCAGTTTAAACATAAAGCATAGAATGGTTTGGGTTGGAAGGGACCTTAAAGCCCATCCAGTTCCATCCCCCTGGCTTTGGGCTGGTTGCCCCCCCGTCCGTGGCCTTGGGCCTCTCCAGCATAGGGCACCACAGCTTTTCCAGGCAGCCGATGCCACAACCGCCATCCGAATAAAGATTTTCTTCTCGCCGTGTAACCAAAGTCTCCCCTTCTTAGTTGCAAACTGTTCCCCCTTATCTTTCTGTCAGATGACATAAGAAGTCTGTCTCCTCCTTATAAATAATCTCCCTTCAGGGACTTGGAAGGTCACAGTGAGTCTCCCCAGAGCCTTTTCTTCTTTACACTGGAGAAGCCTCAGGCTTTCCTTGTCAGGAAGGTACTGCTGCATTCTGAATGTTGTCTTGGCCTCCTCTGCTCCACCAGCCTCATCTGTCCTGTGCTGGAGGCCTGGATGCAGTACCCCAGGTGGGGCCTCGCGAGGGCAGAGCAGAGGGGGGCAGTCCCCTTCCTCACCACCCTGGCTGCGTCCCTCTGTTGGTGCAGCTCAGGGTCCTGTTGTCCTTCTAGGCTTTGAGCACCAGAACTGCAGAGTCTTTGTCTTCAGGGCTGCTCTCAGTGAGGCCTTCTACCAGTCTGCGTGCATATCAGGGATTGCCCTGACCCAGGTGAAGCACCTTGCTCTTGGCCTTGTTGAACCTTGTTTGATTCACTTGTGCCCGCTTCTCAGACTGTCCAGGTCCCTCTGGATGGCACCTCTTCCTTCTGTTGTGTCAGCTGCACTGCCCATCTTGGTCAAACTCGCTGAGGTGCACTTGATTCTGCTGTCTGTCATTCATAATGACATTGAAGAGCACCAAGATGGACCCCTGGGCTTGTGACCAGCCTCCCCCTTGTATGGAGCTGTTGACTGCAACCCTCTGGCTGACCAACCAGTTCCTGACCCACTGATCAGCCCACCCTTCAAATGAGTTTCTTTTCAGTTTAGATGTGGTGTGAGGCCACGGCAAAGGCCTTGCAGCAGCCCAGGTGCATGACAGCAGTTTACCTTCCTTTCTTCACCAGTGCCATGGCTCTACCATAGAGGCCACCAGCTGGGTCAGGCACTCTGCCCTGGGTGAAGCCGTGCTGGCTGTCTCTGTTCATCTCCTCATCTCTCGTGCTTTCCAAGAAGATCTCTTCCGTCTTTCCAGGCACGGATGCTGAGGATCACAGGCCTGTAGTTTCCTGGGTCTTCCTTTCTTGAAGGTTGGGAGCGATGCTTCCCTTTCTGCAGTCTCTGGGATCCTCACCTGACAGCCACAACTGCTCAAATGCGATGGAGAGCAGCTGGGCAGCCATATCAGCTGCTTCTCTCAGGACCCTGGGATGCATGTGTTGTGCTCCCACAGGCATTCAGCTTCATGAGGTGCTCTCAGGCTTGCTGTGCTCCCAGCAGTGGGAAGAGTTCTGCTCCCCCAACCCCTGCCTGGAGCTCAGGGATGTGGGAAGCCTGACTGCAGCAGAGGGCAAGGCAGGAGGACTCGCTGAGCGGCGCTGCCTTGTCTGCAGTTGCAGTTGTGATCGTGTGAGGTTTTTTTTTACCCCCTTGTTCTCATCCAGCTCTGATCGCTGGTGTTAATTCCTGAAGTTACAGAGTTGTGTCATGAGAGCAAGGAAGGAAGGTGATTCTCAAACTTTGGTGTTTGAGAAATAGGGAACTCTGTGCGTCTTGCTTTTAGTCAGAGCTGCGAGGTTTGCAGGGTGTGTGTCGAGTCTCAGCTAAGCATACAATTGCTCTTTCCTATTCACTGTATGTAGGAGCTTTTTCCCCTTCCTCCAGAGTCAGCAACTTCTGTGCTCACACGTATCTGGACTTGTTTTTCAGTTGCCTCAAAGCAAGTGACAGTTGCTTTCCTGTGGTTTCTCGATTTTCTTAAGCTGAAGAACTTTGTCTACAGACTGAATTGCAGCACAGAAACTTGGTTGGTGTAAATAACTAGGAAACTTCCTGCCTTGTGGTGCTTTTTCTGCAAACTCTGTAGAACAACTCAAATTCTGTAGTCAGAAACACCACCTTTATCAGTGCTGTCAGTCACAGCCGCCGCTTTGTTTCCCGTGCTCATCCCGAGCTTCCTCTGGATGTGATTCTGGCTGTAAAGGGGAGCAGAAGCTCCAGGTGGCTGGGAGAAAGGAGCAGAGCATGCCTTCAGAGTAAGAGCTTGTCGTGGGCAAGGCTGTGTGTGCTGGTAGCCACGGACACCAGGTTGGACGCAGTGGGAGCCTGGGAGGGCTTGGCACCACTGGGCTGAACTTGGGGGGGTGTGGAGGGCTGGGAGGGAGGCACTGATCTGTGGCTCTCCAGAATGGCCAGATTAAAGCCCTGCGGCTGGGAGAGGAGCAGGCGAAACCTTGCTGGAAATGCTCCTCACAGCTGCTCTGTTTGCGGCTCTCTGCTGCAGCAGGGCACCTCTGCTCTGCTCACGGAGTGCAGGGGGCTCGGTCTGCTCCCCTGCTGGCACCGTGCTGCCCTTTGCTCTTTTACTGGTGCAAAACGGCCGTGCTGCTGCAGGGTCTCGAGTTCGTGTGGTGTTACTGAGCTGGGATGCTGTGCTAAGTGAATGCTCTTTTTGTACATGCAGGTACAACAGAATAGCTCGGGAATGGACTCAGAAGTATGCGATGTAATTAAAGAAATTATTGGATAACCTCTACAAATAAAGATAGGGGAACTCTGAAAGAGAAAGTCCTTTTGATTTCCATTTGACTGCTTTCTATGAGCCCACGCCTCATCTTCCCCTGTGCACATGTTTACCTGATACAGCAGTGCTGCGTGTTGTACATACTTGGAACAACAAAATAGAAATACTGTATTTCCCCGTACCAACATTGACTCCTAGCAGAGAAGTGTGTGTGTGAAAAGCTGGTTCTTCAGTCATAACTTTGTGAGCCTAAAAGCATTCCTTGTCCGTTAAATTGGGTAAGAAAAGGTGGATGGGAGAGTTGGGGTGGAGGTGGCGTTTGTGGGGGCAGAGCTGTCGGCCCGTGAAGGATGGGAAGTGGAATCCTTTTACACTCATAACAGTTATGAAAGGCGAGGCGAAGAACTCGAAGCCGTTTCTGTGTTCGTTTCACTCTGAAGGACCTCCTCCTTAGGTGAATGTGCTGAGCGATGCAGTGCCCACAGCCCTGCTGAGGGGCTGAGCCTCGCTGCTCGGCACGTGAACAGATCGGAGCTATTAGTGCATCAAGTGATGTTGATTCGTTTCAACTCTCTCCCCTCCTCCATGCTCTCTTTGGTTTGTACGTGGTTTCTCAGTTAATACATAGCTAATAGCTCTTATTTTTCTTAAGTTTTTTAACCGCTTAGGTCTTTCTGGATGTAAGGGTAAAAATCCATTCGACGGAAAACTTGTGTATATTTAAAATCCCAGCTGCTCCCCTGGAGCTTGTACGTTCGAGAATGATTAATCTGTGTAATAAACTGATTACTACAGTCATTACATATAACTCTGTGTGAATAGGCTTTTAATTATTGAGAGCAGTTTGTTACAGGCTGAAACTAACGACGGATCTCTAGAAGCCCCGCGTTCACCCGGGGTGGCGTTTGGAGGTGGTGCAGCAGTTTGGTTTGCAGCACAGCAGGCTGTGCCCCGCCGGGAGCTGCAGCTCTGGCAGCAGGGCAGGACGTGAGCTGTGCCAGGAGCCCGACTGTTACAGCCAAAAAGCAGCTTACTGAAAGGATCAGTGACACTGCAGAGCCTGGCGGTTTTACTCCCACTTGCATGGGACCTAACACGACGCATATGTACTGTAGGTAAACAGAACCTTATGTAATTAAAATAATGGATGTAAAAGGGTATTAAAAAAGAAAAACAACAAACTACCAAACACATCAGCACAAACTTTCATAAAATGTAGCTTTTACATAATTACTTTGCACTAAACATTTGCAAATGTTCATACACTTTTAAATTGTACTTGTATGTGTCTTTTTTGAACAAAGTCTTCACTTGAATCTAGTGAAAAATGTAGTTTGGAACTTTTCTTTGTATACAAGTGTATTTGCCAGCATCATTCGTGTGAATAGGTGAGTCTGCAAGTTTCTCCTCTTAGTATAATTGTAAACGAAGCCATCGACTATCCAGGAGAGGCTGCGGCCTCCAGCTCTGCCGCCACAGGAGCACGTCCCAGCCGTTCTCAAGCGCATCTTTACACTCTCGCACAAACGAGGAATAAATGTCCACTGCCTTTGGTCTAAGCCTCTGCTGCTCGTCTCGTCTCTCGGTGTCCTCGTGCGCGCTCCCGCAGCCGGCGCCGCGAGCCGTGCGCCTCGGAGCCCCGCGGGCGGCGCCGAGCTTCGTGCGCGCCTCCTGCTGCGCCGAGAGCCGCCGAAGGACGGCCGGAGCTGCGGGCGAGGGGAGCGATGGCAGCGGCGGCGGGCGGCTGTGAGCCGCGCCCGGGCGAAGCGCTGAGCCGCGGGGCCTCCGCTCCGCTCGGAAAGCGGCTGGTGCCCGCGGCTGCGGCGCAGCCCGGTAAGAGCCTGCCGGGACGGGGCGTGCTGCGCGCCTGCACGGGGCGTCGGCTGTTGTCTCGTCTCTTTCCTGTGCCTGGCCTTACCTGGGGCTGATGCTCCTGCAGCCCCGTGAGGAGCGAGCAGGGAGCACGAGGCGGCTGCCCCGGGGCCGTCGCTGCTCTCCTAGCGGGATCGGCAGCGTCCCGCTCTCCTATGGGGCCGGGGCCATCCCTGTTCCCCTCGCGGGGCTGCCGTGTGCTGCTTAGAGACAGCAGGGAGAGCTGGCTGGAGATGGGAGCCTTGCAGCAGCTAGGATGTAGGATTCCCCTCAGCTGTTAAGCTGAAGCTCCGGCTTCTCTAAGGAGGGCTCTGTTTTCTGACCTAGCAGCTGCTGGAGGAGTTCTGGAGGTGTCAGAGCTGTGAGGGCAGGCAGTGCAGTGCTGACAGGACAGGAGTGCAGCTGGCAGCAGAGCGGCTGCATGGCAGTGTGGCAGTTAAGGCCCGAAGAACTTCAGCTGGGCTGCGTCCCACTGAGGATGGCTGTGCCCTTGGAAATGAAACACTTTGGAGTCCCTCGCCGAGGGCAAGGTGAACACCGTGCTTCAGGAGCAGCAAGCTGAAGTGAGAGATGTTTCTGATGGCTGCCGTCCTGTGTGGGTCTGCCCAGCAGAGCCTTCCTCAGGGCCGGAGCTGCTCCGAGCCTGGCTGTGCTCTGATGTGCTCCAATAGCCAGGAAGCCATGGCCCGGCTGGGTGAGTTCCTGGGAGCCGTAAGTTTGTGCTGTGATGAACTTCTTCACTCTGTCCGTTCTCAACTTGACGTCGTATTTTCACCGCTTCGCTCTGCATGGCTCACTTCGCACCGACGCTTCCACGGGGGGCTCACACTGCTCCAGCAATGCTTTCTTGTCATCAGACTGTTGGATAGTTTGGGTGCCTGCAGCCGTGGCAGCGCTGTGCTGTGCCCATCAGCACTCAGTGCTGGCGCAGCAGCACCTCGCAGCACTTTCCAGAGCGCCGCTGCTTGGGTGTGTGGGGACTGGCTGCCTGCGTGCTGTGCTTGTGCACCATCCCGTGCCTTTCAGAAACTTCTCAGTGCTCCTCTCCCATGCTGTCATTGTGCAGGAGTTGCCCGTTAAGCTCACCCAGGTGATGTCCTGGCCCAGGGGCCGACAGAGCTGCCGAGGTTGGAGCTCAGCCGATGGCTGCTCGGCGCCACCTGCGGCTCAGCCTCAGCGCCACGCAGCCTTTGGCCGTGCAGGAATCACGTCTGCCTTGAGTTGCAGCGTTTCCAAGTCAGCAGTGTACTGAGGCGTCCGCAGCTTTTCCTCTTTGCCCTGTGTGCATCACACGGAGGTGTGGGATGGCACACAGGAGCCGATGGAGCTGATTCCCTGCCCGGCAGCCCCAGCTGCTGCTGCGTTGCCGTGCTGCGCTTCCTGGCTTCTTCCTTCAGAGCCGTGCGGCCGCTTGGGTGCAGCATCGGGCGGCGCTCCTCGTGCCCTGCCGGGAGCTGCAAGGCCCGGCCCTGTGCGAGACGCGTTCCTGTGTCACAGCTCAGCTGAGCGCTCGGGTGGAGGCAGTGCTGCAGGCGTGTGCTGCTGGAAAAACCAAGGAGAGCCCCGAGGGGTGCCTGAGCGCAGGGGAGGCCGCTCTGACCTCAGCCTTCAGCGATAGCGAAGCTCCTGCGCCCACCCAGAAGTTCCCAGCCCAAACCTGCCGGCTTCTTCCCCTCCTCTGCCCCGGCGGCGGCTGCTGAGGGCGTCAGAGCTGAGCGCTGCGGGGAACGCGGGCGGACCAGAAGTGCCGTCGGGGTGCGTGATGGAAGGTTAGGGATGGAACAGCCCGGCTCTGCGGGTGCCTGCAGACCCTGCCCGTGCCCTCCCCGCAGCGTGTGCACGCCCGGAGCTGCTCTGACCCCGCTGTACTGCTGTAACCTGCTGCCGTGTGGTCGCCATTAAACGATGCCGTGGCTGGGTCGCTTTTTTGCTCTTTTTGCCCATTTCTGAGCTCGCCTCGGCTTGTTTCTTTTCTCTCGTGATGCGTCTCTCTCACCCCCGTCCTCCTGTCCCCGCCCATCCCTGCGGTGCCCGGGGGGCTCTGCCCGGCCCCGGGGGCTGTTTGCGTTCCTGCCCTTCGGCCGCGTGTCTGTGGCCGACGCTGCTCTTTCTGTATCTCTTCGAGTCAGGCCTGTGCCCGTCCGCGTTTCTACTTTGGGCCCCGCAGCGCAACGGGCGAGCTGCGGTGCGGCCATGGGGCGGCAGCAGAGCTCCGGGAACGGCGCCCGCTCCGCGAGGCTGTCCGGTTTGGGCTGTGCTTTATTTCTTTCTTTTGCATTTTCGGTCCTTTTATTTGTCCTATTTTCTTTTTCCCTTTCTCTTTTGTTTCTTCTGCTTTTCCCCCTTTCTTCTTTAACACGTCATGCAGTGCCCCCGGTGACCCGCCCCCCCACTGCACTGCTGCAGGGGTGCGGTTGTTCATGGGGTTGGGGGTGTCCTATGTCAGGGGCTGACCTGTGTTGGTGGTGATTCCTATGTCGGGGTGTCCCTGTGTCAGGGGCTGACCCTGTTTTGGGGGCTGACTCTCTGACAGTGGCTGTCCATGGGGTCAGCGGTGTCCCAGTGTGGGGGGTGTCCCCAGCTCGGGGAGTGCCCCTGTGTCAGGGGAGCCCTTATGTCGTGGGTGTCCCCTATCGGGAGTTGCTCCTGTACCGAGGGTGTCCTTATGTCAGGGGTGTTCGTGGGCTGAGACGGTGCCCCTATTTCAAGGGACGCCCATGTGGTCAGTGGTGTCCCTGTGTCGGGGCTGTCCGTGGGTCTCGCCCTGACGTCGTACGCCGATTAACCATGCCGCGTCCGTGAGCGCTCCGCAGGCATTTCTGGCCGTGCCATGTCGTGCCATGTCGTGCTGCGCCACTCCACGCCGTGACAGCTGCATCCCCACGCAGCCGCCTCGCGACGCCTCCGGCAGCTGCGTGTGGCGGTGTGGCGGTGTGGCGGTGTGGCAGTGGGGCGGTGGGGCGGTGGGGCGGTGGGGCGATGTGGCGGTGGGGCTGTGGGGCCGCTCAGCTGCCGCTTTGAAGCGCCGCGCTGCCATCTGCGCGATGCAAATCCCGCGCTGCCCGCGGCGTACGGAGCGCTTCCGGAGCCGCGACGGAGGGGGCGGCGGTGCTGCGGCTGCTCCGCCCTCCGGCACCCGCGGCGGCTCCGGGCCGAGGGGGGGCAACGCGGGCGTCCGCGGGGAGAAACCCCAAACGCACGAAAGGAGGCGTCGGAGGCGCGGATGGGGCCGGGACGGAACGGGGCCGCCGCGGATCCCCGGCGCTCTGGTGCCCCCCCGACTCTGACTGTCACAGGGCAGAAGCGCGGCTGCCCCCTCCCGCTCCTCCCCCCTCCTTTCGCAGAGCTCTTCAAATGCAAATCCGGAGGCGAGGTGG